ATCAACAGCAATTGAATCATTTTGTAAATTGCATTTTCATCAACAATTAATACTTGCAGTTTAATCATTCATGGTGATAATAACATGGTTCACCTGAGAAACACAATTACCAATATCAATCGATTTATTGAGAGAGAGAAAAATTTTTTTTCTCTTTTCTAATATAATAATAATATTATCCAGGTAAACTTTTTCCTCTCATCTTCCTCCTCTATCATCATTGATGATGCTATTAACTTTTGATGATGAAAAGATGATGATAAAAACCATTTCCATCCTTATTGTAATTATTTCAAGATGAAAATGTTATTCAATCAGTTTTACTTATTAATTTTCATGATTAGCCTGAGATATAAACCAGAATATGAAACCAAAAATTTTCCTATTCCACTTTTCTCTCTCTCTCTCTCTCTCTCTCTCTCTCTCTCTCTCTCTCTCTCTCTCTCTCTCTCTCTCTCTCTCTCTTGGAGTGGGAAATTTGCTGTGTGGGTGGAAAGTAAATTAACTTATAACAATTGACTAACTAACTGATGAAAATATTGTAACATAATCAATATAAAGGAGCAAATATCAGAGTGGGTGATGGAGGTTGAGGTGGGTAAGGAACATTGAATTAAGTTAATGGTTATAATCAAACTCAGAATCGTCAAGTTAATCTAATCATCAGTTAATGAAAGTAACTAATGTTTTTCTTAATTATGATGTAAAAGAGGAAGTCTCCACCTTTCGACCCACCATGTAATCAGTAAAGGTGTCTGGTTAATGATTAACAATTTGATTAACCTCCTGACAACTTGTACATCTGATTGAAATCACCGGTAGATTTCAAATATAAATAGAGATCAACATGATAATTGAAATGAACATGGAAAAAGGTTTGTATCAAATTGAGATGAAAAATCGAGGGAGAAAAAAATTATCCAAAATCAGTTAATCATTTGAAGAAAATTTTGTTCATAATCATGTCAGAACTTCATTATCAATTGATGATAAATAATATTCGAGTATATATCTGTAAGAACTAGAGAGAGAGAGATACTGATGATTTTTGTATTCCTTTGTGATCTTATCATCATTATCATCATCGTCATCATCCGTTATCATCTTTGATTGATATAAATATTGAGCCAATAAAGAGTTGATGATAAATGATGAAAGGAAAAAGTTAAAATGAAATGAACCTTAAACAGGGAGGAAGATGATGAGAAAAAAAAATCAACATGGAAACAAGGAAACAAACAACATGAATAATATGATTGGGAGATAGAGAGAGATGAGGATCCACATCATCTTCATCTTCATCTTCCAGATCTTCCATGAATATGAAAGTCAAAGTATTAAGATTGAAGATAAGGTATTCATATGAAAATAGATGATGAAAAATATACTTGGTAACAATTTCCTCATCTGAAAAACTTATTGCCATAGAGATACCATGGGGAGTGTAAGGGTGGGAAGAGTAGGAGGATGAGGAAGATAAAAATAAGGATTCAATAAGCAAAAGGATGATAATGATGATGATGATGATGATAAGAGAAAGAGTATCAAATTGTATGGGTGACTTGTTATATATTAAAGTTGATGTTTAATATTGAAGAGGGAAGAGGATGATGAGAAAGAGGATGAGGTTCACCTTTGGGAAGGTAAAAATATCATCTCCCGGTGGATCTTCAATTCATTGATATCAGACTACATTTTAAAAAGCTGTATCATCATCATCATCATTATCATCAGGGTCATGAAGGTGGAGGTTGGTTCATGGGAAGAAACAATTTACTCCATCATCATTATCATGAATGGAACGTTGTTTTTTCATCATCATCTTAAATTGATAAAATTTTCTTTCTCTCAAAATTATCATTACCATTTCCTTTTTCTCTTTCTCCATTTTCTTTTCTTATCTAAGACTTCCGGGAGAGAGAGAGAGGGAAAAGGCTTCCAAAAATTGTTGGTGTTTCTTTTGTGTCCATTTGCATTGGAGAACTTTTCTTATATTTTCCTCTTTTAAATTCAGCGATTTCCATGTTATCACTGAATTTAATCTCGATCCCTGAACCATCATCATCATCATGGTAACTATTTCAATCTGATGATGATGATCAACAAACATGATGACAATAGGTATTGACATTATCATTCCAAATGTATTCAAGTTACTCATCTCAATGGAATCGATAAAATTTCAAACTGAATCTGAATTTTATTCTCTCTCTCTCTCACACTTCATCTTTTACCTTTATTCTCACTTTCAGGGATGATGATGAAAAAGATTTTCTGTCTCTTCCTCTTTCAAAAAGATTAAGATGCTTTTTTTTCTGGTTCACATGGTGATGAACAACGAGTAGGAAATTGGAAGAGGATATTAACCATGAGATGAACATGGTCAAAAGTAAATGAGATCAATTTAGAAACTCAATTTTCAAGTGTAGTTTCAATTTTCCTCATCATCTAATTTTTTTATACTCTGATTATTACTCGCATCGTTGATTATCAGTAGAAAGAGTCAACAATAACATGATGATGATCATCATCAGAATGAGAATTTAATCAATGATGAGGATGAAATTGAACTCAAGTATTTATATATCATTGAGTAACATTATATAAATATCATTACAAGTTAATATCACCAACAAGTATCAATGAAAATGCTGAGAATAAAATGTGAAATAATCAATGGATAAGATTGATTGTTGCAAGTTAATTTCATCTGAATCAAATTAAAGTGCAAATACACAAGACTAATACCTAAATGATGTAATAAAATGAGTAAAAAAAAAACGAGAAGATTTAAAAAGTTTCAATCTAATCTTATTGTTTGGATTATCATTTTATCTTGTAAAAGATTAAGATTATCTTTCTCTCTCATGCTGCTATTTTCTGCAAATCTTATTGGAGCTAATGAAAAGCTAATTAACAACCTGGTTACCGGAAATAGATTCCCAAGGATGATAATGATGATGATGATGATTCATATCATTGTTACATTGAGCATATTGAGCCTCCAGTGTCAATTGATGATCATGTTAAGGTGAATGTGGTTACAATTGTTGTTGGTACTAAATGATTATAATCATTGCTTTAAATTGCTATCATTTTGTAAATGATCATTTTGCTCATCTTCATTTGTCTCTCTCTCTTACTCATCATTCTTTGTAAACATTATCATGAATGGCTGTTAAATTTACCAGGAAATACTCTGGATACTTTTGTACACAAGGAAAGACACAAAAAAAGATACAAAGACTTGAATCTAAGCCTTGATCCGGTTTAAGGTCATTTTTCATTGGAACCCTGATAATCAAATAAGTTTATCTTCATCCAGATTATTTACCTTTACTTAACATTTCCCTTATCATAATCATTAGTAGCATCTCTCTCTCCTCCCTTTAGCATCCTCATCCTCTTTCTCCTCCTCCTCATCATCTTCATCAATGATGCAGAAAGTTAAAGAGAAAGATAAAAGTGAGAAAATGATTAGAATTCAGAAATTTGAATGTAATTGATGCTCGAGTTTTTTTTTAAAAGATGATGATAATGATGATTAGGAGGATGGAGAGTCTAAACTGGGAGGTGAATGATGATGAGATTCGAGATGATGATGAGGATAAAGTTTGAATTTAAAAGGTTCAAATCTTTTTCCATCACATCAAAGGTTAACATAAACTTAGTAAGAGGTAATCATTATGTTCAAACACGAACATGATTTGATTGTTGAAATGATTCATTTTGATTAACGGCCAGTTTTTAAATTCGTGTTCATAATAATGATCTGACCGCTTAGAGAATCTAATCCTTAATCCTAATCCTAATGACGATGATTAAGAACCTTAATTGTCTTTCTCATCAATATTTTTAGACTGTGACATTGAATCAAATTGATATTTCTCATTAATACTCATCATCATCATCTTGATACAATTAATAAAACGATTGATTAATCATTGATTACGATCCTCATGTTCATCATTTATCATCAACTGATGGATAATAAGTGTAATTGATTGTATGACCTTAACTGTGACCATTTTTATCAACAATTGATTGTTTGAAATTTGAAAAAAAAATCTCCAACAATCAACAATGATTAACGATTTTCGAGATTCAATTTCTCATGATAATTGTATTATTATTATTACATGATCCAAATGAACAACATGGGAAAACAAAAGTCTCCAATTGTTGATTATAATCAATTATCTTAATCATTATAAATCACAATAATCTATTATTATCTTAAAAATCAAAAGTTGTAAACAATTAATCATCAACAATCAACAACAAGGAAACTCAATTTAAACAAGAGGAAAAAATAAAATAAAAATAATGTCTTCACTAATGATAACAATTAAATCTGATCATTAATCTTAAATACAACAATTACAAATGCTACTATTAATTAATATAATCAAAAGGTAAAATCAACTAATTTTAAGGCTAATTAATGATAATTAAATTGTTACCAATTGATAAGTGAATAATAAGATGCTGATGTAATTAAAATTAATTGTGATGAGAGTTTTTTTTTCACTTGAAAAGTTTAATTTACGTAATGATAGTAACTGATTAAACTAATCACTTTTCTAGACATTAAACTAAATTGTTGGTTAATGGAATCACCTTGAAAATTAGGTTGTAATTAAAATTGATTCACAATAATGTCAATCAAATTAATCCATCCCAATGAAACACAACCAATGGTTCATTTTCATGATATTGAAAAGAATTGAATTTCCTGAAAATCTAATCAGCTGATCAATGAAAATTGATAACAAAATAATAACATGAAAATGTTTACTTTTCAAATTCTCAGATTGTGATAATATTTATGATAAACTTTTGACAGGTTAATGAAATTTGTTCATTGTTGTTGATATCATGATCCATCATGAGGTTGAAATGGATGAATCAAGTTGAGTAACTTGATTGAAAGAATTGAAATATTTTTCTATTCAAAAAGTTCTGAGTCAATTTTAACTGAGGGAAAATTAGATGATTACCTTGATCGGCTTTGATTCTGGTCTTCGACCCCAATCCGAGGGAAGATTAATATTAATCCTTAATAGTGAACTATTTGAAATGAGCTGAATAGTTTCCAGGGGGATTTCATCTTGTTCAGGGGTTAATTTTGAGCCTCTTTGTTTGTATAAGAATTCAGTTTGAAAATTAAAGGGAAACTCTCGACCGGTGGGTTGACAGAAGCAAAGTGGTGACAGAAAATGGGTTGAATCAACTGCCCGGTGGACAAGTAATTTAGGCTGATTAACTCCGAGAATTCCGATATCACAATATTTACCACAGGTAAGAGCTGAATTGAAGGGTGAAATGATTGAAACGTTAACCCGTCCATGGGAAATGATTGATGCATCAAAGGTTAGATTACAGTGGATTTTACCATCAATTGGGAAGTTAAAATCGGACGGGTTGATTGTGAATGAACCAGAGTTTAATTGCTCATGAAGTGATGAGAATGAGTTAATTGTTAAAGGTGAAATTGCGGTGAAAAGTTTTGAACAATTTTGTGAAACAAATTCAGAAGAAACTTTTATCTCCGGGATTAATCGTTTAACTTGGAAACGGTAGTTGATTGATGATCCATCTAATGAACCAGTCGAACTGTGAAACTGGACAAGAAGTGAAGGTCCACTTGTAACATAGACTGATTCGGATGCTCCACCCTGTAGTATCATGGAAAGGAAGATGAGGTAGAGAGAGAGAGAGCGAAATAGGATTGAGATGAAAAAGACAATCAATTACATTGAATTTAATTAAATCTTTTGAGAGTTTGACTTTTTAAGGAAGTGGGAAAAAAGAAAAGGATTCAAAGTGATTAAGGTTAATGAATGAATGTGATGTTTATCAACAAAGCAGATACATGTTGGAGTGATGGTGATGGTAGAGATAATTATCATCGCCATGATTAAGATGCAAGAAGAAAAAAAAATTATTCAACAAAATTGATGACATTTGGTATGAGAAGAGGATTAAAATTGTTCAGGGAAATGATGGTGAAGGATTTGAGATGGTGGGTAGAGAGAGAGATTGAAATTTACCATGGGTTTGTTGGTATCACAAAGATTATTCATTAATCTGAATGGATCGGGTTCTGGGCCATCATAGATTCTGACATTTTCCTCGCACAAAGTGATTCGCTCAATAGTAAAACTGAGAAATTCAATTGAAAGGTGATCCAATTGATCGGGTGCCGTGAACAGATATGAACATGTAACATTACCAGGGTACCATGAACGAGGATTGGTGAAGATACTTGAATCAACTGAATCAGTTATAGTCTCTTGAAGTAAACATGATCCATCAGGTGAAACCTGAATAATAGTAGAGGGAAAAGTTGATATCAGAAATTTTGAAAACTATCGATTTCCATATAACAACATCGATAAGTTCAGTAATTCTCATGATACTAAATATAATCATTAACTGTTGACATAAGTGTTAATAATAACTGTTATTATTTACTGTCGATGATTATGTTCATCGTGATAATATTTTCAGGGAGCAGATAAAAGTTCTAACTGAGTTCGATCGAGTCTCTTTTACTTTTTCTCATTACACTTGGATAATCAAGTTGAAAACTGTTCACAATCATGATGATGAACAATTTGATGACAGTTTAAATGTTGATAATATGTTTACAATATCAAATAATAATATCTAATTCCAGAGGTTCAATTGATTTCTTTGTTATATTTTCTCATGATATAATAACAATAATGATGATGAGGTGGTAGTAGTAGTGGTGATGATGACTGTGGATGATAAATATCATCATCATGTAGAAGATATAAAAACATGGATAATATTGATTTTGGCTCTTATTGGGATCAATTGAAACAGCAAGAAAAAAGGAAGAAAAAAATAAGAAAAATGAAACTTTCGATAAGATGAAAAGTGACCATCACAGTAACCGGAGGTCATTCCTAATTCTGGTCAGTTGAAAGGTCAATTGTTAATGTGTCATTTAAGGTCAAAGGCGAAATGTTTATCATCTCAACAAGAACCATTTAGTTGATGATATTATTAATGATAATGATTAAGAATCTAAGTCCAATGTCAATGACACTAATGATACTCCATGAGAATGACAGATAATATGATAATCTATTGAGAAATTGAAATGGACAGAATGAAAATTGTTCTAACTGAACTTACCTCAACCGAACGACCAGAATCAAAGATAATATCAGTCTCGATTTTAATCTGAAACCCAGTGTCCACTAATCGTCCAGCGGGCGACGATTCAAATTCAATGAGCATCCAGGGCTGGGAGGCGATTATATTTGATGATAATCGTCCTCTGAATATGAGATAATTTTGGAAATAAAAAAGTTGAGAGTTAAAATTGTTATCAAAAGTATCACATGAACCATGAAAGTGAAACTCATTATCATCAACACTTGAAGTTCATTAAAAAAAATGAGTATCTTATGAATCATTAACTGAATCATTATCATGTCAAGATAATAATGATTTGAATTTTGCAGTTTTTATTACTATTAAATGGTGATGATTAACATGATTACTAAGATGATTGTGATTCCATGGAAGATAAATCTTTATGATGATGATGATGATGATAAGTTTTTTCTTTCGGCTCTTCATCATTTCAAGACAAATTGGATGATAAATATGAAGATGATAATGATCATGTTGTAACACTGATGATGATGATTATGATAGTAGTAAATTAAGTTATTATTACCTTCCGCAAAGTGATGTAATTAGTTGATCTTTGGATGTTGATCCGTCATAAATTTTAATTGAATCGTAAGGGCATTGATTGTAATTACGAGTTACTGGTCGAGGGAAACAGATTAACATCCCTTCACATTGTTCACCATCAATATCCATGTCAACAATTTCAAGTTTGGTTAATCCACCAGGTGATTTGATTAAATATCTAGTAAATTTTTTATTCAAGTGGAAAGGAAACGGAAATGATGAGGTTGAAATTTTTGTTTTCGTATAAAAAAAAATAAGAATGGTAAAAGAAATTGATTCAATTGTAGAAAGTGATTAATTGTCTAGTCTGTTGATTGATTCAATATTATCTTTTTCTTTATTGTTGATTCAAAAACGTTTTCATCCCAGAGTGGATTAGGAAGTGGGTTAACGAGGGAGAGGTGGGGTGGTTAGGATGAAGAGAGAGATAGAGATAGATGATATAAACAAGAATCATGATGAAATTTTCTTCATGAGTGGGTAGCGATAACCTTAGAAGAAGATGTTCGTGGATTGGAATAAAAAAAATTTCGATTCTGAACTTTTCGAAAAGAATAAAAAAACTAACTAATCTTTTGCTTCTGAATTGAAAAGTTTGGTTTGAGTTCGAAGATCATCAAGCATCGAATCGAGATAGAGAGAGAGAGAGAGAGAGAGAGAGAGAGAGATCAAATGAATTAAATCCCAGCGAAAGTTTAAAATTTTGATCTTTTCACCAGATAACAACAATAAGAACTAAAATAAACCAGTTCGAGCTTCGAGTTCTGAAAAAAGAGAAAATCTTTCCCTAATAAAGATTGATGACTTTATCCTGAAAACTTGCAGATAGAGAATGAAGAAGAAGATGAAATGATGATGATGAGAAATGAACTAAATCATTTGATCAGGAATGATGGATGAAAAAGTTTAAGAACTTTGAAAGACTGAAAGAGAGAAGAAGAAAAAAATTCGTAACTTGGATGATAAACTTTTCTCCAAATTCGAAAAAAATAATCTCAATCCTTTTCCTTCTTAAAACCAATAATAATCTTCGTCATTCAATTGCTATCAACTCTTTTTCATCTTTCCAGCTTGAGTAACAAGTAAATCGTTGATTCGATGAGTTAAAAGAGGGAAAAAAGTTCTAAGAGAAATAAAAACACCGAGAGAATTTAAATTCACTCTTGAAACTAAAGAACAAAAAGACAAATATCAAAATCGATTAAAATTAACTCGAAATCAATTAAACTGTTATTAGAAATTAGATTAAACAAATATTAGTCGAAAGTCGAGAAAAAGTTTACAAAGTTTTAGCAGAAGGAAAATATCATAATAATAATCATGATATTTACTCAGGGAAAAAGAAATTATTTCTTCTAGATTCAATTCTCAGGGAACCTGAACACTAATCATCTTAATTATAATAACATTTACATTATTTATTCAATCATAAATTGTTCATAACCAGTTTGATTGTTACCTTTAATCATGATCACCATGAAGGAAACAAAAGTTTTCCTGATATATTATCATTATTATCATCATGAAAATGAGATGTTAACAAGTGAGTACAGAGAGAGAGAGAGAGCCAAAAACATGCTAATAATATAACAGGTATTTTCAGAATCATTATTATCATCATCATCATCATCATCATCATCATCATCATCATCATCATGATAATATGTTTATTATCATATTCAGTTACTGAATTAAGTTTATTGTATATTTTTTTTGTTTCCTCCTCATGCTTTTTACCTCCAAGTCAACTGAGCATAAATATTAACCATTTCTCGAGTATCTTTCTCCCTATTTCCTATTCTGTGTGAATTATTTCATGATGATCATGATGATGATGAGAATAGGAATTGTAATAATGATAATGTGATGTGTAATAATACAATAAAGTGCATATAATGTTATGTTGATTTCATCATCATGATGAAGATAAACTTTTTACTCTGAATAGTTAATGGGGATTTGAGATGAAAAGGAAGAGAAAGAAAATGAAATATAAAGTGATAGAGTTGAAAGATGAAAGTTCAGTAATAATATCATGAACAACATGTGACCATGATGATGAATTTTGAAAATAAGAAAATTTCATTCAAGTTATTTGTTGGTTTGTTGTTCTCGGTTTGAATTCATTTCTTATGATATATCAACAGTTGTAAAGGTAAGTCTTGTTGTGTGGATTCTTACCTGCATTTCAAGTTTCTTGGGTAAATTTCAGGATAACCAGGGGAATGGATGTAACAATGTCCAGGTGAACAATCTTGAATAATCCGATCACAATAAGTTGAGGTGATCAACTGACCACGACGATTTCGAGTCTTATGAAATTGTCCAAGTTTAGTCCAGTGTTCGTCCTGTTTCTGTATCTCGGTGCTAAACTGAAACTGCGTCTCCTCTGAATAAGAATCAGAATGAAATACTATCCGGACATACGGCGTTTCTGAGATAATATTCTTTGGCATATCAATTTCACCACAGAAAAATCCTAAAGAAAGTAATATGTAAAAAATAGAGAAGGAAAAACATCAGATTGGATATAAACTTTATTCTGAAGGGTTCAAATATAAGAAAAACATTTGGAATCACAATTAAAGATTGATAACAAAATCTATTCAATAATATATAACAATCAGTTCGTGAACATGGTTCAAAGAAATTGTGTTAATATTTGTGCTCGTAATCATTGAGATGTGAAAAATTATACATAATGGATTCAATAGATATTAACATGGATTGGAACTGTAAATGGTTGATTTTGATATAATTTCATTTGCTTGGTGGGAAAGTTAAAAGCCTTTGAGCATAATAACGGTAATTGCAAATTCGAGGGTAAAAGAGAGTAAAACAAAATGTTCTAAGTGACATTTCTAATCGATAAGAGTGTTAAGAAAAAAAAAGTAAACTCCAAAGTTGAACAATTAGCATAAATTGAAAATATTATTATTATTTATTCACTTGATTTGTCCTTTCCCTCAACCCGGTGGTGGAAATATTAATAATTTATTTACTCTCCCAGTGCCAGAGACTTTTTTTCCTGAATCAATTCTGTGTACATAACAGGAATCATCATCTTCATCCAACCATTATAAGCTTAAAATGATGATGATGATGAAATATTAACATCACCTGAGGCGATTCTCTCTCTCTCTCTCTCTCTCATTCTCCCTCTATCTTGAGTATCTTTATATATTTTTTTGTTCAACTCCCACTACAGAAATAATATTTTTTCATATGATTATCTTTCTTTGTTGAAGTGAAAGTAAATTCAATGATCATTGAAGGTGGAGGAGGAACAGGGCTCAGGGTGGAAGGTGGGAAATGAAATATTGATAAATTGAGTTCTGGGTAAGTGGGAGTTTGAACTCGAGGTGGATTGATTATTGAATTGACAGTTTTTTTTCACTTTTCTTCATGAAAATAGGAAACAAAAACTTTGGGTGTTATCCATTAATTTTTTGTTATCTATTTCCAGGTTAATATCATCATGGTGATGGATTAACCTGATTATCCAATGAATCAATGATCTACTTCCCATGTAAAGTGAATCAGAAATTTCAATTTTAATATTAACCTTTTTTTTTGCTGATGAAAATTCAATTTTATTTATTAATTCATTTGATAAGTTTCAACATTTTATTCAATAAAACTTTGTTACTTTAATATTGGCCTTGGTTACAATTCAGTTATCCCCAGTTTCCTGATTATATGATTATCTCATGAGTTTATCAAGTTGTGAGTTCAATTTTCATCATGATGATGAACACACTTTGAATGCTGAATGAGTTGCAAGTTGAAACAAAATTGAGTAATTAAATCAACTGGATTAACCTTCTTGATATTAATCATGAGTGGATATGGTTCAGTCAGCATGATAATATTGGTGATGAGCTTTTCATGATATCATCATGATGATGAGTAAGAAAAAAAAACCTTTAGGTCAGCAAATGACCTGAGGGGAAACTTTTTCCCATATTGAACATATATATAACTTATAATAAATTCTGATTCCCTGATTGGGATTTTTCATTGTTCAGTATTATTTATATTCATCATTCTGTTTCACAATATAATCTGATATTCATATAAATTAATCTTTGATACTATTAAACAATCAACAATCTGGATCATTAATCAAATTGTATTAAATTTTAAATCAAAGTTTCAGTTTTGATTGTGTCAAAATTGAACTTTGAAAACCACCAAAAGTTTTGGATACAAAAGTTTCCGGAAATCAAGAGTTTCAGTTATGATTTTATGATTACATGTAAAGGTTATTTTAATATTTCAGTTCCATGATGATGAAATATTGATATTATTCAATCATAACCAATGGAAGAAAAAATTGTAAAAGAAAATTGGAATTGAAAATAAAGTTTCAAACTGATTTCATGAGATTCAATCAAATCCATGATACTATTCAGGCAAAGATAATCAGGTTGAGTACTTATTCAGGTAAAAATAACATTTGATTACAATTCATCGTAATGATTTAGTTAATTCATCTGATGAATAATCTAAATCACAAGACAATTTCTCTGTTTTTTTTTTCGTTCAAATTTTGATTAACCTTTAATGATTTGTAGCCAACGGACACGAACTTGATCAATTCGAGGATTCTTTTTACCTGAACATTTCTGGTTCTCATGAACCTCCATGAAGATGAGATTAAAGTGGATGATAAATTCAATCATCTATGAAGAATAAGAAGAGAAAACAATTCCATTTGATTTTCTCCCTAATTCTCTCTCTTTCTGTGCTCACTAATGTTCCAAGAGTGTGAATCTAACATGGAAATAAATGATTCTCATGATTCAAAAAGCTCTGGAAAAAAAACTGAAAAATCCACAACAGAATCTGAATTTCTCATGAAAAATATATAAAAGGAAAATCTGAAAAGCGGTGAGCAAAAGATGAATCCAATTGTAACAAATAATCAGGTAGTAAAAGAAGATGAAAAATTCAAGTTACTCACGTTTCAAATATTCAGATACTATTTGGAATCATCATGAAGCGAAAAAAATCAAAATTCTGAATAAATTGGAACAGAACTTTTTTTTGTAAACTAAATTTAATCAGAATTCCCTGACCATTGGTAACCTTATTTTCTTTTGGTTCACCAATAATCATTTCTACCTATGAAACTCATGATTTATATGTATCATGATTCAGGAGGAACAGTAAAAAGTTCAGGTAAACAATGAATAAGGAAACAAATGGAAAGAGACAAAATAAAGTTTTCCGATCGACTGAACTTTCTGAATCTTATATGTTGTTGGTTTTTATTATAATCTAATCAACGGTTCATTAGAGTTTGATTGAGATTAAATTGTTAAGACTTTCACTTGATCATAGATGAAGATGAAGATGAAGATGATGATGATGATGGTTAAGATGATAAGAAGATGAAAACTAAAAACATCTTCATCATTATTTACACTTGATTAAAGTTGTTTGATATTATTTAAACATCTTACCTTTGATTAGGTTTGCTTGTTCATCCAATTAACTGTTATTACATTGTTCAATATAAACCTTTATCAATTCCGTTTCCGAGTATTTCATCATCAGGGTGGTTTCAGTTGATAATAATCAGAATTCATGATAAAAGCTATCAGACTAACTAGACAAGAAATATATTTATTGGTAAAATCGTTCCAAGGGAATCGTTCATTTCTAATGAAAGTTCATGATAATTCATGAAGATGATAATAGTAATAATAACTGTCTATTAGGTAAATTGTTATTTATCAACATTTTTCTTATATATTTTCACAATCATTGCAACAATTTACTGATTGTCTTTCTTCTTGATTGTGATAAATGTCTAATCAAAGTTGACAAACTGTTTGATTGCTTTCTCAGCTATTGTGCCAATTCAAACTTCATTTGTCACATTCAAATGGTAAAACAATCAAATTAATCATGATCAGTTAAGTAAATAGAGGTTACAAAAGTAACCATGTAATTAACTGATTCTCATTTATTTTTGCAAAGTTTCCAGAAGCTTTTTCTCAGTCTCATTTATCGTTCAATATTTTTGACTTGACAGATTCACGATCGATAAGAGTTCGAGCTGATTTACTGATTGTGACCTTCGAACGACATGTGAAGGCAAATAATGACCTCGATTTTATATCATATCGATCTTTAGTTACAGAAATCTTTTCAATATGTTTCTCGTTGAAATGTCTATAAGTATTTAAATAAGAATAAAAGATTTTTGGTATTTTACAATGAACACAAATAGCTTTAAAATAATCACTTGAAATATGTTGAATTATTGATAGTTTACGGTTCTTTTCACCGATATCACATACATGAGGAGCACCACAAATATAAACTGTACCAAGTGTAAGCTGTAAACTGTTAACATTAATCTCAGATAAACATGAAGGTTCCGAATCAGAATGTACTTTCTTTGAAAATCCAATTTGATTAAATGAAGAATCAGTTTTTTCATTTGAACTTTTAGAAATTATAGAAATATATAGGGCTATTCAGCTATTTTTATCGATCTTAGTTGCGATTTATCAACAAATAAGAGTCAGAGAGACACAGGACTTGAGTGGTATGAGTGTGAGCGATACTCAATTGTCATATTGAAAGATCAAGGTCATTCAGGTCATTGTTGAAAGAAAGCGTTTCAAGGTCAGGGTCATCTGAAGGTGATATAGTTTTTCTCCACATTTTTTTGTGACCTTCGAACGACATGTGAAAGCAAATAATGACCTCGATTTTATATCATATCGACTACAAAAAGCTACTCGAACTGAACTTGAGGATGTTCAGAAAGTTAGATGAAAATTTGAAGCACCACGATTATGAACTGTTCAAAAATTTATCGAAAAGTTTTGTGATAGTTTGTCAATCTACAATTTTGACATGAAAATTTTGGAATTTTAATTAAAATGATTCACTTTAATTAGTAAATCATTGAGAGATTTAAATAATTAAATTGGAGCCGATTGTAATTCCAAATGATGAAAACAATTAGTTAATTAAATTGTAGCTTTTTCTTAATTTGAATTACTCTCTTTTACTTTCAATTAGCTAAATTAAAATCTATTAGAGGTAATGAGCTTAATGAATTTCCAATAATTAATTTAATTGTTAACAATTTAATCAAGTTGAAAGTTTCTGACAGTTAATCATTTCTATTATTATCATGATCATAATAGTTTGACAAATACACAAAAAAAAACTCATTACAATTAATGTTTTTTTTCACGAATAAAAATTCAACAATTAATAATTCAGCAATTTGAATGAACCACAATTTAGTGATCAAGTTTATGGTTAATAAATCAAACAATTAAGACTAATTATATTATCTCATCAATCATGATCATTACTGACCAAATAAAATATATTTCTCACTAGAGGTTATTATCAAAATGAGAGCGTTAATTGTTAGCCAACAATCAATACGCTTTAATCATTCTTGCAGCAATGATTAACATGAAAAACTGTTAAACTTATGCTTTT